TATATTTAGAACTTAAACGAGTCACTGATAGACAATCGGAATGTATTGAATCTTGAAATACAACAAGACTTTGAATGTTTCCCACAAATACTTGAATTTCGCTTAAAAACAGGACCTTGAAATTCATACTAGAAGCATCATCAGTAGGGACCTGCGTGACCAGTCTTTCGTGACCAAAAAAAAAACAAAAATTCTTCTTTCACATCCACTGCGAAAATCATTATCGAAGAATTTTTGTTTTTTTCTGGTCAGGACGGAATGGTTACGCAGGTCTCTAATCATCAGATAGTCTCTGCCATCTATCCAGACGTAATTAGAGGACTGAGTCCTCCTCTGGTACAGCTTCTTTTTTTCTAGTTACGCCACTAATAGTCTAGTGTCAATTTGATTTATAAATAACTAGACTTATAACATGAGTAATTGTCGATTGAAAAGTTTATTGAAAATATAAAATCTTTTTAATCTTATTCAAAAATTTTCTCGATCCATATTGAATCAAATCAATTCTATTTACTAGAATCGCATGCATAAAATAGTTCATCACGAAGAAAAAAAAAATCATAAGTCTTTTCATAGGGATTTCATTATCATTTCTGGAAAATTTTTGAATCTGATAGGGTTTATATAAAAAACTTTTTTTTCTTTTATTTAGGAGCACTTGCACTTCTTGATCAGTGTTATCAAGAAGATGATGTAAATGCTACTCAAATTCTTACATTTGAACTTGAAAATTGGTCTAATTGGACATGTCTTGATCTATCTGTAACAGCTTATCTTCGAGATTTTGTTGCACATAAATGTTGTCAACAATTATTATCTGACTTATGGATTGGTGGAATGAATGTTCGAAAATATCTGAAATGGATGGTATTGCTTGCATTATTTTTTCCACCAGCACTTTTCTTTATCGATTTTAAATCATCAAAAGAATTACAATTGATGCCTCAAACAGAAGAAGAATATTTTCAAAGTACGATAAATTCATAAAAAAAAAAAACATTTCTATTTGTACTATTTTAGATGAAGAAGATCTTATTGATAGTGATAATAATGATTATGATTCAACTGATAATAGTTCCGAAGATTCAAAACCATCATCATCAGATGAATCACATGAACCAGTACTATCTGTTACAGATCGTGATGAAGAGCAAACTAATGATGAAATACAAAATGAAACAAATACATTACGAAAACGTAGAAAGAAAAGTCGAAAGAAAAAACGAAAGAAACAAAATAGTAGTACAATACATCCAGAGGATCAACCATCACCACCAACAGCAAATAATCATAATAATCGATCGGATGATATCAATTTATTTACATTGAATAAATCAACATCTAATCACAATCCATCATCAACAACTATACCAATAACAACAATATCAATAAATGAACACGATGAATTAAGTAATTCAAATGATGTTCCAAATCAACGACGAACATTTCGAAATCGTTTAGCAAATTTTCAAGAAACAATTCGTCATTCGACTATATATCATTTTATTTGTATATTATTACGTCAAACAAGAAAATTTCTTCGTCGTCATCCATGTTGGAAAAAATCTGATCGCGACATTAATTCAAATGATAGTACAGATCAAATATCATTAATGAAGAAAGTTTATGAATTTTATAATGCACCAGTGACAAAATTTTTTCAAGATTTAATTTTCTTCGTTCTATTTTTGGCTATTTTTACTTATGTTGTACTTATTCGTACCCCACCTAAACCTTCCGTATGGGAATGGATATTAATGTCATATTTAACAACAAGTGCTATGGATTTAATAAGAGAATTATTAACAATGAGTGAAACGAGATGGAAAACTTGGTTATCAGTTTATTTCAATGATATTTTGCATTTATATGATTCATTTTCATGTTTGATGTTTGCTGTAGCTTTTGGTTTGAGATTAACAAATGCCTTTCGAATTGTTGGAAGGTTATTATTGTGTATTAATTTAAGTTTCTGGTATATTCGAATGTTTCATTTTTTGGTTGTATCAAAAGAAGTAGGACCATATATTCATATAGCAGCAAGAAATGTAAGTACAAATGTTTTGAAATTGTTTGCTTCTCCATATAAGAAAAAAAAACTTGATTCGATTAAATAATCCATATTGTACGTTCATTAGCATTACTGTAGATAGGAGAATAGCCGGCCATTTAACTATTCAACTACCACTAGTTGATTACCAGTATTTCAGAATTTTTTGTTACTAGCAACGAGGTATAGCGCATATTATTCTAACGAGTTTCGTCCGGTTTGAATAACATGGGAATAGTATTTTCTTTTGGTAATTGAAGACAATTAAAAATAATATTTTCATGATTAGAATTAATCGAATGAATGTTCATCTCAAACTTTTGCAAATATAGCAATGTTATATTTGTTCGAAATGTTATTTTCATATATTGCTGTACTGTCGTATTTGATCATAACTCATGTCACATGCTTGTTCGCACTACTGCGGATCAGAGAACTACTATCGGTGTACCACACATCAAAGTTGTAATCGATCCGATCTGATTAGTTCAAAAGCTCTTTTAGACTGGTGAAAACTGTTAACAACTAGCTGATTTGTTGAATCATTTTCAATTGGTTAATAGGAGCGGCTTTCAAAAAGAATGCTCATCTCCCATTGTTTACATTTAGGTTTTTATAAGTTTCTGAAAAGAAATATCATTTTTTAGTCATCTATATCTGTTAGATTTCACAAATATGACTATGTGATGGTCCTCTGTATAGCACGAAAAAAATAAGAACCATTTATCGGATAGTTGATGTATTGACAAAACTAATCAGCTTTCGTCGAACAACGGATCGAACCTAAATCTGATCTCTAAAAAAATAACACAATGTAAACAAATAAAAAAAAAAAAAAAAACTGTTTTTTTATTATTTTGATCGGAGTACTAGAAACCTGTACTGTGCATTTTTCATCAAAGAAATAGAGTGTGTCAATAAAACTTGTTTCAACTGATAAAAACTGGTGAAGACGAACCGAGTCAGTTACAACTAAGAGTCATACTTTGACTTTTCTTTTCCAGGAAAAGTTATTGCCCTTAATTTATCATCTATTTCGAACTGGCGCAGATGAATAATAAAAAAAAGTTAATCTTTTCTTTTGCTCTTAATAAAAAGACATCATCGATCATATTTCCTATACCTTACCACTAGCATAAGTTTTTCATGAAAACAATGTTTAGTTTTTAATTTTATTTTGAAACCACAACCACAAAAAAAAACAATAAACAACATATGTATCATATATAAACAGTCAATAAACAAACGATAACAATAATTTTCATGTTTTATTCTTAACTTTTGTTTATTCATATTATTTTATGAGGTATACATAAAAAAGTAAAGTGCTCTTGAAGATAAACTAGAACGACTTTTCCTGCTGATATAATCCATAATGGACAATGAAGATTCACTAAAAGATGTTTTCTACGCACATAACAAGTCTTTTAACTCTTGATTCTAATTCATTTCTTTCATAAACAGAGGCTGACAAATTAATCGACAATCGACTTTCGAGAACACTGACGTTTTTCCTTTTGTTAATAAAATAGAACAAAGAAAGATTTTGGATAACTGCGCTGATGGCAGTAAAACAAAAACAAAAATGAGAACAAATCAAGTTAATGATATTTAAATGATTGTTCAACTGATTTGTAATTGATATAAAATTCTACAAGCATTTCAGCATTAAAATATTACAACTTTCCTTTCTGAAAGCAAAAGAAAAGTGAAATTATCAATCCCTAGTTACAAATCTTGCGCAAATTATACCAAACGGTTAACCAGAAGTTTCCTATTATTCATTCTATTTAGATTGTCGATTTATTTCGTTTAATTGTTATTGTATTAATTGTTCTAATGAGCTTTGGTGTATCAAGGCAAGCGATTAAATATCCTGATATGGACTGGAGTTGGCATTCTGTTAAAGAAATATTTCTTGAACCTTATTTTATGGTATGATCATGTTCTTTTGTTTTTTGATCTTATTAATAAATCTCTTTATTTCGTTTACGAATAGATTTATGGTGAAGTATATGCTGACAAAATCGATCCAGTGTGTAATGTAACCGGAGATCCAACCGATCCATCATGTCAATTCGGGCATTTTATAACTCCTATTACTATGACAGCATTTCTTCTTGTTTGTAATATACTTTTACTTTCAATGTTAATGGCTCAATTTACATCAACATTTATGAGATTAAGTCGATTGTCAGATCAGGTAAAATTTATTTTTTTCTTGTTTTACATTAAAAAAAAACAAGCAAAAAAGATAACAATGAAATTACTTTGGTTTTCAATTAGGTATGGAAATTTCAACGATATCATACAATTCTTCAATATGAACAAAAACCATTATTAGCACCACCATTAATCATATTTTCTCATATATTTCTTTTAATAAAAACAATTTATCGTATATGTCGTCATCATAAACGTACATTTAATCGTGGTTTAAAATTATTTTTAAGTGTCAAAGAAATTGAAAAATTACGTGATTTCGAAGAAGAATGTGTACATGAATATCTTTTAGCTAAAGAAGATAAGGAAAAAAGTACTGTTGAAGAACGTATGTTAACAACATCAGAAAGGTAAATAATTTCCTGTTTTTTTTTCTTGGAATTCTTCTAGAACCATAGATAATTCTATTTTAGAGTTTCACATATGTTAACACGTGTTGAGACATTAAAACGAAATAGTACTCAACAAACAGGTTGTTTTCAAAATTTTGATGAACGTTTACAACGTCTAGAAGATATGCAAACATCAACATTACAATTACTTAATGTTCTTGTACAAAACATGCAAACATCATCCAATGATCAAACAACATTAATTGATAATGCTTCAACAAAATCATCGGATAGGAAATTAAAAGAAACTAATGATGATGAAATATTAAATTTTACAGCTATATCATCAGCTGATGATGTTAAATTCCCTATATCATCTTTATTATCATCGGGTACAAATCGAGCTATGCGTTCATCAAGTCTTACAAGTCGAAGAGTAACAAATCCTCTTCCGATACCAAATTCAGTTTCACCACAAATTATTGTTGGACCATATTCAGAATTTCTATCAATTAAAAGTTCAGGTGCATCGACATTACCAGCTAATGATGAACTTTTAGGTATTGGAACAACAACACTTAGTACATCATCATCATCATCAGTAAATATTATTGATGATGCAAGTTATCCAGCTTTATATGAAGCTGAAGAAACAGAACATAATATATATGGAAAATTAATTAAAGAACGTTTTCGTAAATTATCCGAAGTTGTTGAAGATATTGAAAGAACATTACCAAGACATCAACAGCGTCAAGATGACAAACGTGATAAATGTGATATAACAGATGATGATGAAACATTATCAACTATGGATTGGGTTGATACAACTGGACATGTTGCATAAAATAGTACACATGAATCACGATTTGATATTAGTCAAGATGAAAATGGACAGACTTTTATTGCAACAAGTATGAAGATTTCATAAGCAGAAAAAAAGATGTATTCGTTTAGCAGATATTTCACAATGAATATGTGAAAACATCAAAGTTGTTGTTCATCCTTATCAAAAAATGCGCCATCTTTAGACAACAGTGGAACTTTTTACATATTAAATGATCATTTTTTTATCTTGTATAAATCATTCTTGTTTTTGTTAAATAAAAAAACCTACTTATAAATCAAGGAAACCAAATCAATACGAATTGAAAGAAAGACAGGTTGCATTCAACGAAACATGTACCAATGTTGTGTCAACTGCTGGTGAATTGTGGTTCTTCTGTTTAATCTCTTCGGGTTGATGATTTCGAACTCCGAAAACAATCGAATTTCATTGAAATCAGTCAGAAAAGTAGTGGTAAAAAAACATTGTATCTGACAGGAAAGTTTCAGGCACCGATGGCAGATGGAAGTAGTATTGCGGACGAGAAAAATAAATCTAGAGACTGTTCAGATTGAAATACTACTGCCATTTTCAACTGTTTTCTTGCCGAAATCGACCCGTATTTCTTGACCTGAATCATTGGCTGAATAGGGTGTGGGTGTGAGGGTGAGGGTGTTGGTGTGTGGGTGTGCTCGTTATGGTATCGAAGGAAAAAATGCAAACGTTTACTACAACGCATTCAAACCCAAACTCACACCAACAGATCCACACCCACACCTACAACCATATCCACACCCACGCCCACACCACACACCCTGAATGGCATTGTTATAAGCGTATTTTTTCGTATTGAAAATATGCTCCAGTTTTGTTTTGAGTGCACATGTTCCTCTTAAAGAAATCTTTTTATATAATCCTTGTGAAACTAAAATTTCAAGCATGATACAAATACTTTAATATCGTCGCCTCACAAAAAAAAGGAATTCACTAATTTTTCATGGATATCAGATGAAGCAGAACCAATTCAACAAATCATTAAAACATCACACAGAATTCAAGAGTATATATTATAAATAACTGGAGAGAAGCTAAATACGTCATGCTAATTATGTTTTCATGATTTATGAAATGTTGATATCTCATATTTCTGTATGAGTGAATGGAATTCTCACATAACATCTCTCGTTCATAAGTTGGTTATTATTTAAACGATTATATAATGTTTCGTAGTGTGTATCAAGTCGTAGAATTGCTGCTTTCAAGATGCTCCTTTTTCTGCGTTTGACACAAATCTATTGAAAGTTTTTGCCAGATTACATAGAAATTTTTATCGAAAGCTTTTCAGAATTTTCATTTCAAGACTGTAAGGAATTTTAATTACATCACATGAAGATCTAATCTAGATGTTGCAGGATCAATTAGAAGCCAAAATCAATGACTGCTATGATGTTTCAATCAAGATTTTGTTAATTTCTATACATAGATGCTCATGTACAAGGTTTTCTTTGTCCCATGATACCCATGAGTATTCCATGGGTATGGTGCTCTTTTCGTTAATTTTCTGTTTAGTACTTTTCCCGTTCAAAGGAAGACTAAATTTTTGGAGAATCATTTTATCTTGGTCATGGATCTTATGCGTTGGACCCATCGGCAAACAAAAAATGTACTTTTTCAAACACAAATATGAAGATGCTGCACTTGAAACAAACAATAAGCACAAATAACCAATATACAGTGAAAAGAAAACAAGGAGAAGAAAGGTACAAAAAGAAATCTTATCATAAAAATTGTATGATATTCTCTAATAAAAATACGAATTTTTTTTATCAAATATAACCATTTCAACTGTTTCGAAGAATAACACATATACTTAGAGCCAGCCAGGTACAACAGAAAAAATATAAGTTTTCATTTGCATGATTTACAAAAGGTTAAACAAAATATTATTTTATTTCGTGTAACTTTGAGTTTTCATTGCACGAATAAATAATACATTAACTAGTTAGGTAAGGTGCACGTAATGCAAAAGTTGAGCAGAGAACAAAACTCAATGAATTATACATCAGTCGATAGAGCTTTTCGCGCTGATTCAGAATATATACCTTTCAAATTTCCAGATCTCACCT